CAGAATAAATTATGAACAGTTTAGTTTGTGCCTTCGACTCGGTGCCCATAAGAAGACGTTACTTGGATTACAAAGCCGAATATCGTTGGAACAGCTACAAATGACACCAAACTCATATGGTTGAGCAAAACATGATGTAATAATGTAAAATCAAGGGCCAATGTAAAAAAAAAAAACGGTGTTCCCCTTTAAGGAAGCCCTGTACTCATGTACTCTGCTCCTGAAGCTTTAGCTCCCGCTTTACTGAAAAACAATGTTCCTATTCTGAGTGCTATTTATGCCTTATTCTACTTGGCACCCAATAATATTTTCACTTTTTTATTTTTATCTTAACTCTCTGTTGCTTTAGGCAAAAGATTCCATCACTTCTTAGTGTTTACTCATTGCATACATGTGTATTATCATACCTCTGGTCACATAGTCTTGTGATGGTAAACAGATAAAAGTGTTTTGTTTGCTTGTAAATGGAGCAAAAATAAAATGTGAAACAGAAATAAAACATAACGAGCCAACAAGATGTCATGTTATTAGAAGACTGCTTGTATGGAACCGGAGTGAGCTACTGCCATAGAACTCTGTAGTCATTATATGTGACTAGGCTCATTCAACATAGTCACTTTAAATTGATTTTAATTCCCCATGCCTTTATGTAGAGAAGAACTGTTTTGTGATTTAATTAATTTCCCAATTTGTATGGTTCTGAAATCTCATTATATATACTCTTAAGTAAAAATGCTGTGAAAAAAAACAACAAAACTTGGCATTCCAAAATCTTGAGTGTTTTCTATTAATACTGCATGTTTTCTGTCTTATTTTCAGGATTTTTAGCTGTGCTGGTGAGGAGTTGACCAGACTGCAGTTTCATAACGGAGGAAACTATAGCTCTGCACTTCGGGAAGGTTCTTTTGAGATTTTTGGAGATAGAGTTACAAAGCTTGGGACAAACATGTAAGATGCTTCATTATCCAGAAGGATGTAGGTTAATAATTAAAATCATAAGAAAAAGGCTTGGCAAAGATAATTTCTTAAACTGTAAAATCATGCTAATAATGCTTCCCAAAAACTGAAACTATTTTCTAATTTTCTGGCTGGCTGATTTTAAATTGAACTAATAGCAACTCATTAGTCCATCTATAATGCAGAGAAGAAGACAATCTGTTGTCCTCTTTTATCGCTTAGTCAAAGGAAGAGTTAGAAGTCTATTTGTTACATTCAGGAGAAAATGAATGTATCAGAATAATATCCTGATGAAATGAAGCATATCAAGGAAATTGATATTTTTCAAAATGTTGAAGGTCTACCATACTGAATGGAGGAAATGACACTAACCATGAAGTCTAAAGTCATACTTTTATAAAATGAAAAATATATAAAATATCCTGTTTTGTATGGTTTAGTGGCATAAATACATAGTTTATTGTTAATGTTAGATTTAGCAGATGTTTTACATGTTTGCATTCTCTATTACAGACTTAAATATTCTCAATATGTTCGTATTATCATCGTGTTTTTATTCAGGTACAGTGTAAGTCGCCCTGTTGAAACACATATGTCTGGCACATCTAAAAGTTCTGCTCAGCACACAAAGGTAAGGAAAAAAATTGAATATTCAGTTTTACCAGATTGAGGCAAATGTTGTCTTTTCAATTTCCACAGTTAATAAAGTTTTAGTTTTTTATACCCACTTTATGAGCATCTGGAGAAGGAACATATAAGTAACAAGTTAAAGAAAAGGTATATGCTGAAATGAGAAAACAATTGCTTGTCAACAGGTCAATGCTGCCCCAAACCCTCTGGCCAAAGAGGAACTAAATCTGTTGGCCAGGTTAATGGGAGGGCTGGAAGTTCAGAAACCAGGAAGCACAGACACTGGTTTCCGGGTAAATCTATTTGCCACGGATGAAGAGGAAGAGTGAGTGTCCTAATATGTGTTCTGCAAATTTCAGCTGTTTTTATTTTTCAATGTTGGATCTTTGATGCTATTTCAAAACATTTAAAAAATAACCATTTAATTCGTCCTTTTTGACAGAGAAGCATTAATATCAAGACCGGATGAGCTTTCATATGGAGTCATAAACATCCAAGCAACGAAGGTAAATAACTCAGTATATCATAACAGTCTGCACGGTATTTTAACAGTAATCTGAATTCCAGTCATTTTCCACACTAAATAGACAGTTTGTTTTCTCAGACATTTCCTTGTGGTTTTAGACTGTTATTAACTGCTGTGGTTAGACTGTTTGCTATTTTATCTTTACGTCTTAAACTTTGATGTTTTGTTTTTAGTATAATCCGATTTTAGATTTAGTTTAATCTGATTTTTATATCTTGTTCTTCAAACAAGTAAGGCAGTCGAGGAAAACAGCATGTGGCATAGAGTGGATTTTATCTTGGGCGTCCTCCACACCAAGGGATTTTTAAATTTGTGAGCCAAGAAGCCAAATTTAGCAAAATCCTTTGACATTGTCGAGTCTACCTAACCAGACCAGGTGCCTTGCAGTTGTGCAAAAAAAAACAAAATTCTGTCCTTTTTCTGTCGATTTTATTCAATGGACAAAAATAGTGCATAACTTCAGTAAAAGATGAAAGAGGCTTTGGTTTATGAATAAATATTTTATTTTACGAATATAAATCTGAATAGTATGATGTTAACATATGGTTGCCTCCCTTTATCCTGATACACTGAAATAAAATCAAGAGCCACCATTTTTACTGAAAGTTAAGAGAAAGTTTAGAGTCCATCTGTGTTTAGAGGCTATTTAAAATGTGTTTTAACCAGCATCTGATGAAAAAGCAATATCACAAGCTATCGATATGTCACAGTACCTTTTAATCTGCCATCTGAGTACGGACAATACATGCATGGTGCAACACATCATGACATGGCCATCCACCAACACTGGTAGGCCAAGCAAACTGGGCATCAACCAGGGAAGGTTACGATCACTGCTCAGGTGGGAGATTCTGGGGTGATCTCCACAATCATGAACATAATGGAAAGATGGCAAAAGGGAAAAAAAATATACTTGATAAAAAGGAGTTTGTTATGCAGTTTGCCAGCAGCAATGAAGACACACCAAACATTTTCAAAAAGGTGCTCCAGGTAACTCCAACCAAAACTGGACTTTAAAGGTACATACTCACATTATTTGAGGTTTTATGAATGTACACGCCATTAACTGTCTAGCTGCAAATTATGTTTTTATGACAAATTACTGCTGTTTTAATATTTGTTGATTTTTTCTTTTAAGCCTTGTTTTTGCTCAGTTTGTTAGTAAATATAGCCTTTCAGTTTATATTAAATAATTGTACGCATGTGCAGGACCATCATTTAGGTCATATGTTATTGTTATGGTAAACAAGCCGAAGCAATGGAAGCAAGTGAGTGTGAAACTCCCAACATAGTTGTGAGAAAAAAAAGACTTAGATCAATTGTAAAAAGGCACAAGAACGTTTGATTCCAAGAGGGATAAAATCAAACAATAAATGTCAGAGTACACTAAAGCTTGGTTTTATGCTTGACGCATCTGTGAGGTCTGTAAGGCTTAATTACATGCTTATGGTCTTCCACGCCCATCTGCGGGATCCGTATGGACAGAAGTTCCGCATTGCACACCTAGGGAAATTTTTAACTACACGGAAAAATCCGTGTAAAAAACTGCTGATGGTTCACAAATATAAACACCTACAAACATCCCATGATTTAGCCCCCAAATATCAACACTATCAAAAGATTTTGGAAAAACTCCTGGAAAGAAATTACTGTCACTATGATATGATATGAGGAGTCTTTGACTTTGACACCTACTTCCTTGTGTAGTGGGATGTTTTCAGCTGAATGTTTGTACTTAACATGCTCCCTGTAGCCGGACTGAATGGTGGAAAAGCCACGCAGAGTATAAATGCTGCAGACTCTGACAGTTGGCTTATTTTCCGCACAGTTTGTATTGGCATCAAGTATCATGAGTCCTTAACAATGCTTTTTAAGCTCAAATTGAACTGTTGCTGTTCCGAGAAGCATTACAGCACCAACTAACTTGGTTAGTTGCTGCAGCAGTTTAGCAGTACTGCCAGTAGATGGCGTCACATGTGTTTATCTCAGCTCACCTCGCCAATTGCTGAGATTCTATCTCAGCAATTGGCTCAAAAGGAGTTTCAAAACAATATCAGGATAGTCATTATGAACTGGGTTTGTAAAACTTTTTTTTATAGGCATATAAAATAACTATGTACCTTTAATCTTGTAAGGTAAATGCTGTGTGTAGCAGAAAACACTCTCGGGGGGGGGGATACTTTCTGAAGACACTCTACCTTTGGTGATGCATGATTTGGGCAGCCTTATGCTTTCAGGTTGCTTCTTTTTATCAGCAGGGAACAAGTATAATGTGAAATACAGAGCAGTCATGCACAAAAATATTGCACCACAACCACAACGTTGGTGGAGACATACGGAAGAATATTTGCAAATCTTGTTGCGCCCATAGGGGGCTTACAAAAGTCTGATGGTTATTGATGATGCTTGAAATAATTTGTGTTTCTAAAAAAGATCATTCTGTATCCTATTGTTATATTGCATCATAATGAAAATACTCTTTTATGGATGTGAATGTTTTTGCCACATGCTATATGTTTTTTTTCTTCCCTAATAAGCAACATGCTTGATTGGAATAAAATCGATCAGGGATGTGAAACTTTCTCTGTTAAACAGGATTTAATACATTAAGATTCCATGTGATTGGCAGCCCTAGATAATGTCAGACTGCTGTGTGTTTCAGGATCAGCAGGCCAACGCAGAACTGGCCAAGATCATGGGAGAGTTTACAGAGTCTGGAGATCAGTCTACATGTGGCAGCAGCAAAGGGGACGACCTTTTGGCCATGATGGACGGTTTGTGATGTGATCACGCAGCCAGAAATCCCAAAAGTAGGGTCTAAACTTCCGAAGATCAGCCTGCACTGTGGTTTTAACCTGCAAATAACCTGCATCAAGCTCACATTCACCCACAAGAAGTCGTTCTTGTAGTGATTGTAAGGAGCCTATGTGAGCAAAGGGCCGCCGTTGGTCAAGCGGATGTGTTTTTGCAATCAACAGGAAGAAAGTACTGTGAGGAAAGCTGCACTAAGTTGTTGTAAGTTTTCTGTAAACTTAGGAGAATTACATGTTTTTAAAGGAGAAACTATTGGTTTGTATGTATGAATAGATTGAACATGTGCTTGTTGTAATAGTATTTGATTTTTCACACAGTCTAAATAAAGTACACATTCCTTTTATTTCATGCATTATTATGTACTCTAAGTTAAGTGTCAGCAATAGATGTAACTCTAGCACTTTATGACTGATTTTAAAATGCATTGAGGGTTTGTATTCTTTTTTTTTTTTTCTAAAACTAGTGCTAGTCTTGGGTTTTGGTGTGGTTTTATTTTTAATGATTTTTTCATAAATACAGCCCCACTAGTATACAGAAATATGTTCTGTTGTTACTTCTAGCTGGATATCTAACAAATGCACTTTATAGAAATTTCAAAACTCATTACAATTTGTTGGTATTCTGGATGAAGTCAACTTTTAACATTCAGTACATTTTAATTGGATTAAGTTTATTGTTCAGCTTTAGGAGGGTGCTGTTTTAAAGATACTGACCGGTTTTAATCTGAGGACAAAGTTTGGGTCAAAGATTTATACACTCACAAACAAAGCATTAACGGCTTTAGGAATGGCGTAGTAAAGGACACTGAGATTCTGGAACATATATATATATATATATATATACCTATACATACAACCCTTTGGAAACTGTAGAATAAGAAAACATGTAATTTCTGTTGGGAATAATGGTCAAGTATGGGTTGTATATATTGTATTCCCTGTACACTTTTGATCTCGTTTAAACTCAAGAAAATCTACAAATAATACAAGTTGTATTAGCAGTGCACCTGAAAAAGGAGCAATTTCACTAAATTCCTAAAAGTTTCAATATGACATTAATTTCCTCAATAACTATGTAAACTTTTCCTCAGCTTGGTGTCTTTATATACAGAAAGGTGTTGTTTTATTTCTTTTCTACAAGTCAAAAATGACATATTTCTGGAATTAGAGGAATCCAATGTGTCCTTTTACTATTTGGTTTAAGCTCCTTAAGATATTTATTATGGCAAAAAAATGTTTCGTCTACACAGTTTCTTCTACAGTAAAATAGTTTAAAAGTTTAATGTTTCAAAAACTGTTCCACTACAGCGTGATGTAAAGTAATGTTTAGATTCAGCTCAACAATGTGTTTTTTTGTGGGTTTCTTTTTTTAAAATACAGAAATGCAATATGAGAAACCGTCTTAATATGTACATATTTTTATAGAAAAATATTTATTAAATTAAACTTTCCTTTGTCCTGAAAAAATGTTGCATTTCCTAAGTTAACAACTTATTCACACATATCAACAACACATATCTCATGGATTTATTTTTGGACATTGTAAGGATTATGATTAATGGAAACCTGAGATGTAGTTCCTCGAAAAATCACACATTACTAGTCAAATATTTTGTTATAGAAATGTTGCGTTATGTTCTCATAGGAAGAGTGCACTTTGCATGCTAAAGATTTAAAAACTTGTATGTATCAATATGTAAAGAACTCCAATGTAAAGTTGACTGAAAGTACAAAGTATGATAGAAAAAAAGGAGCACAACCAACAGAAATATCTGCAGCATATAGAGGATAAGAACTCCATGCACAAGGATTGTACCGCCGCTGGAATTATGTTCTTTTTTAATCTGTTTACTCCTGGCTTCTCTATGCTAACACTGATTGTTGTGCTATTACTGCTTTATCCCAATGAAACTTTTAAACCAACAAAGAAGAGGAACTTTAGGCGACTATCTGGGCAACCTTTTCATGACACTACAGCAGTGCTTTATAGCCTTCATGACATACTGCCTGATGCAATAAATCATGCCAAAGGGGATCCCTACTATACCATATTACTAATATACAACACTTTGACATGCTTCTGAAGGAGGATAACAATTTTGGAAAACTTTGTGTATTGGTCCTCTCTCAAGTTCATATTTTCATAAAAATGTTTATGGCGTTTCAAATAAATGTGAGCTATAAACATCAAAATAAAAAATAAGCATTTCCAAGGTATGCCTGTGTATAAAATATAAAAAATAACAAGTTTTAGTATTAATATAGACTTATTTGTTTTAGAGTTGATTGAAAATTAACTTAAGTTTTGACATAACCTTGAAGGAACCTGTACGAAATTAAATTGAACAACAGAGGGTGCTGTCTGAACTGCATAAAGCTTATGTTTTATTTGTCATTGCCAGTCTTCTACAGTGTGTGCCACTCTGTAGCCTTTAGTGGGCCAGAGCTACACCTGATGATTCATCCTGTTTAGCCCAGTTTTACTTAATTTCACACTTTTCCACACTATGCTTTAAAGTTTTATCTTCCCACACCATGGTGTAAATTTCCATGCAATGGTGAAAAAGTATATTTCTGCACGCTGGTTTGGTGGTTCTGAATAAAACCAGACTCTGTAATTTGATTTAAGGTAGAAAGCAACCTAATTCCTCATTCGAAGAATTGCCATAGTAACAGCATTACCTAACTGAGGTGATTTCAATGTGTGTGTTTGGGTGTGTGTGTTTGGGCCGCCTGCAGACGAGTCAAAGTGAGACTGTCTGAACTCCCCCAGTCAGCCACCCTCACACACATGAACAGAGTGCATTCCAGGGCAGCGAACATGCTGAGACATTTCTCTGAATTGATCTGGGGGGGAGGAGGTTGCTGTTGAGGTTTTCCCTATGATATCCCAAAGTAAGAGACGAGAAAAGCTCCAGGCTCTCAAAGTATGGCCTACCTACAAAACAAACACAAACCCCAGCTTTAGTAAGTTGTTCCACAAAAGTTTAGACAGTCCAACTTTGTTTTGGATTGGTTTGCATATACTTTTAAGGTAAAACATCTTAAGAAATAGGGAGCCCTTTTCGTTCTATTAATGTATGAGAAGATTCTCTCCTAGACTGTGGATTTTACTTCTAATTCAGTTTCCTCTTCAAAGGGTGCGGGTATGACACTGTAAAGCCACAGCCTGACGTGTTTCTTGTGGCTGGGAGTAGATGCTCTGCTGAGTCAAGGCAGGAAGACTGTTTCAACTCAAATGTGGCACTGCCATTTAACTTGCTCTCTCCTTGTCTGTCACATCTGCCCACTGTTTGGAAACTGTTACGTGGGTGGAATATTAGATTAATCAGTTAGTCTAAATTAGGAGATAAGGTGGGCTTTGCAAAATGTCAGACACCCAGAATGCATGCTTGCATAAAAAAAGGACCCACAAGCTTTCTTGTTTAAGTACTCGGAGGTCAAATGTTGTATTGGAAGACTTTCCTCAACACGTGAATGGCCCTGAGCGGACATTTTCATGATTGCCACTATAGAAATTTATTGATAAGAAGTGAGTGTAATGCAGTTTCACTGACTCATATAGTTATCTCAAATGAAGATATTTTACTTTTGGAGTCTCTTTAAATTCAGATCATATTTTCAGTCTTATCCAGCAGTATTTAAAAGATTCCTGTAGAAACAATGCTTTGAGGTGGAAATAGTTTAACTTAAAATAGTTCTTCTTCTAAAAAAGAGGGCAGTGGCCATCCCCATGGATTTACTCACGTCTTCAAATCAGAGTGATTTACCTTCTTCAAAGTGGATTTTTGATAAACCTGTAGTTTATTTGGAAGAAACTTGTATGTGTAATTTACAGTTAACCTTGCAACAATGCTAGTGTACAGATTTATACAGATTTAATGCTATTTAAAGTTCTCTTAGTAAGAGAGACCCTCCTTGACATTGGCCTAAAGGCGACTCAGCAAAACAAGTGATATTACTCCAAAATCACCACTGGAAGAAATCTTTATATTAAATTAAAACTAAGGTTGATTTTGTCATGGTTATTTATTTTTGTGTGTCATGCCAAAAAACTAAATGTATAGTCACCCTAGCTGACTAACTCTTGCAAAACTTTCTGGAGACTCAGGTAGGCATGAAGAATTAATAACATAAGACATTCCTTGCAGTTTTTATATTTTCAGGATTTTATTTCTTTCTATAGAGGTAGAATGATATTTAAAAAAGAGTGTGTTTCTTGAAACGTGCAGACAGAACAAACTTCTATTAAATGTTCATCTTTATTTTAAGTCATCTGTGAAATTATTTGGTCTGTTTGGATGTTTCATTTGTTTTAAAATTTTAACTGTAACTTTATACAAGATAGACTCCAATATCTGTGCAATAATCGAATCTGTAAGCTTTCTACTTTAGTTTTAAATAAAGGAAGCAAGTTCATTGTTGTACTTTTGTCATGTTTCATTTGCATATAACTGGAATGCATAGTTGTATCATTAAAACTCAAATTAATACACTGCTTTTGTGTGTTGTTGTTGACTTTTATCAAAATCAATAGTGTTTCGATATAAAGCTCAGACATGTAGCAGACTGAAAAAATTAAACTAAGCCATTTTATAGAATATTGTGGGTAAAAAGTGAGCACAGAGCAAAATTAAGAAAAAAATTGTATATATGTAAACATATATATAAAATGTATATATAAAATATATATATATATATATATATATCTTAGGTTTAATTTAAAAAAAAACTGTCTGAAATAAGTCTGGGTTTATTGAGAAGTCCCATGATGTCATGGTTTCATTTAGCAACTTTTTTTTTTTTTTTTTTTAATGCAGAGGATTTCATCATCGGGCACACAGAAACAGCTACTGTCATTGGCTGTACGCGACTGTCAATCAAACGTCCTTGTGCGTCATTTCCGTTGTCAGGTGGTGCTGTCTCTGTGGAAAGATGCGATCAGCGAGAAGCGGAGGCTTTTCCTTAATTGCTCATTTCAGTAATAGAGGCTAAACAACGCGAAACTAAAACCTCCGAAGCTTCTCCCGCCTGTGAGAGAAGCTCCGTACTCCCACCACAGCTTTCGCCTGAGAAATGTCGATATTTTAAGGGGGCAACGCAGTTCTTAGCCGGCGGTTTTGGCTTTGAGGTAAGCGAGGCTGCGACTCGGTTGCTATTTAGCTTCTCTCGCCGTGAGCCAGCTGCAATGTTGAGTGTACTTTGTTTAAATGGCCTCACAGCTGCTCGGTAGATTTAAGCTCCGCGTTAGCTGTAATGTAGCTCGTTCAACAGCCATATTTAAACCTCCATGGTGCAAATTGAATCAAAGGAACTCATGCTAATAACGATTGTTGGCTCTGCACCCCACTCATTATTGTGCTGTCTGCCCCTTTGTGTGGCTCACGAGCCCCGAGCTGTTCTAACCCATTCAGCCGAGAAACTAAGTTGGCTTCACACGAGTTCGTAAATGCACTAAGGATAGTTTCAGTCATATTCTACTCAAAGATAACAGCGTATGTTTGTGATCTTAAATCGGCCTTAAATGTGTCGCCAAGACTTCGCTAATCAAGTTGTAATCTTCCTGTGTCCAACTTGCGATGATTTAACGTCAGCGCTTTAGTTTACACAGCACGCTGCCAGGACACAGTGTCCACACCTTATGGACCCAAAATGGCACCAGTGCTTTGAAGCAGTTTTTGTATTTCTTTTCTTTATTGTTATTGTTGTTATTTGCATTTCCATTCGTTTTTGTCAAGTAATTTTTATGGTGTGACCTTTGCATCGCAAAGGACATTGTTATTGCAGTGATTACTGGGGTTATGTGCTTCCTAAGCTTCCAGGAGTTCTTTTTTTTCTTTATGTTTTTGTTAACAGTGTATTTGGTTTATATCACATTCTGCTATGTATTGTGCATATAAAGGATGTTTGATTTTGCAGCGTGTTCATGCAGTGCCCAGACATAAGCCATTGAGTATCTGTAGGTGAGTCGTGAGACACCTACTTGGTTGTTTTGTTCGCATACTATTTAAAGAAGCCCACATTTCTTGTGGGCATTGGCAGCGTGTCTTTCCTCCTCTCCTGTGATATGATTCAGAGGCTGTATCTGTTCTCGTCCTCCCTCTGGTACAGTCACAGCCAGTCCTGTTTGCCAGACCACTGGCTGTGTGCTGAGAGTTGGAGCAGTGCTGGAAAAGGATAGCTGTGTATGCTGTCATCACACTGTCATTCAGGTCAGCAGGCTGGAGTTTGTTGCATTGACCTTTTGCTTTTTTTTTGTGCTTTTTTAAGATTTCTGGGTTTGGCTCAACAACTCTGCAGCAGGTTCTTGCCTGAACATTGAAGAGCATTTGTTCTTTGCATTATGCGTCAATAGCTAATAGTTTGATGTTAATCTGGTTTGTTGACTGACATGCATGTACATGAGCTATACCATCAAATAAACAGACGTGTACAGAGGTAGCTCTTTTGACTCCTAACAGTAGATGAAGGATTTGTTCCATGCCTTGTTAATGTATTAGATCATATGTGTCCTACCTTTTTAATTTATTTAATAAAAAAAACAAAACATTAAATCAAAAATAAATTAGTTCACCATTATTCCAATTTGTGTCAAAACAAACATCTCACAATATTGCCTCTAATGGAAAGCTGTTATGCTTTGTTATAGTGCATTTAATAAACATGCAGAAATATCATTATTTTCTATTTTATAATGGTTGAACAGGGGTAAGTGTTTTGATTTCATTCTCCATATAATTAATCTCTCTTTTAAATGCTTGTCCACCAAGTTTATGATCACCTGATCCACCTGACATGGCTTTGTCTTCTCGGATGTAAGATGTTATCCTACCGTTCCCAGTGTGACTCGGTGTCACTCTGACTTGCGCCACAAACGGCGACAGAAAACCTCAACTCATCAGACTCAGTGGGTGATGACTAGCAGAAACGGAGACAGATGGGAGAGAGACGTGATGATGACACTGTCTGCTGTCTGGGATCACAAAAAGCCTCATGGAAGTGAGAATTCATACAAGCCCTTGCTGAACTGCCAGCTGTCCTACCTCCTCCATGCTCCAAATTGCCAGCAGTGCACAATTGTCTCTGTACCAGAAACATTTCTGAATTGGCTTAAAAAAACGGAACTCTGGGATTCCACGGTTGGACAATACAGTGTCAAAATGTTGTTTCATGTTTTCAACCCCCCCATAAGGCTTAAATTTTGTCATGTGGTGGATTATGAAAGATTTTTTTCCATTTTAGAAAGCTCACTTTTAGTTTTCTCATCCTTCCATCATCTTCGCCTGATATTACTCTACTTGTCACCTACTGTTACCACTCGGAATGCATGGTGTAGACTTTTGATGGGAAATAAAGAGTATTATTTGAACATTGAAGCATTTCTGTTCAATGAAAACTTGGTACGGCAGCAGGATGAATCATTCCTCTCTTTTCAGGGCTCTACTTCCCCATTACGGGAAGCAGATGGCATTTCATCACACTGGCCCTGGCTATCAGTAAACACAGGATACCTCTCGCTCTCTGATTTCTCGGAGGTGGATGAGATCCACAGTGTCTGTAAAAGCACTTCATAAAAAAAGCAATGTGTCACTGTCACTCGTTCTGCATGCATCTAGCCTCTGTGTCATTGAGCAACAGCTCTGTATTTTAACTTTTTGGTCGTGTTAAAACTCGCATTCACGTTTAAAGGCGAGATAAGCTCTTTGCACAGATTCAGTGATAAAGCATGCAGATTAAAGAGCATGGGGATTTTCCTTAACCCGTTTCAACCGCTGCGGGGGGGGGGGAGCTCAGGATTAGTGAGTCGAATGAAAATAAAATCTTGTTTTAAAGCTTTTCTTTTGCATGCAAGTGCCTTCCATTTTGCAGATTGTGTCATCACCACAGTGCCTAGTGTGGAGATTGGATCTGAGGTGCTGGCCTTGACGCCAGCGGCCGTTATTCTAAATTGAGCTGTAATGCAGTCACATTCACACTGAGGTGTGGAAATGTGGGGGGAGAGAAGTGTAAATGGGCTGGGTGGAGCTGACCTGAACTTCAGCTCTTTTAACTTGGTTTCATACTGTTTTCTCATTTAATGGTTTTAGAGCTCTGTTTATTCCAATTTTTTAGTTAATTAATTCCTTTTTACCCTCAGAATAGTTTATTGGTTGTTGTACTATTTGTCACATCTGTGTGCTTTCCCTTTTACTTGTCTATCTTTATCCCATGAACTAATCAGATTTGTTCCCTGCAGAGCTCCAGTATGTCCAAACGGCGCTCGTCAGAGAGAGGGGCTGGAGAGACATCAGGCAGGGCCAGCAAGCTCCAGTGTCCTGGGATATCTGGCAGTAATGCCAAGAGAGCCGGCCCCTTTATCCTTGGTATGGAGCTTACTGCTGTTTAAAATATATTATCGAATCCTGTTCAAGGAAACTGTAGAGGTTGATGTATACATGCTGTGCATATTGCTACTATGCATAACCTCAGGAGAATTACACCAACCATAGAGTTATGGGACTATGTTGTGGACTTACACACGCCTGAGACAAGAATTTGAAGAATTTTGCTGAACCTCATGACATTGGCCAGGGAAACTGGAGACTATGCCTGGGCATTTTTTTCTTTTTCTTCCTTGGGGATTATATAATCCATTTCTATACTCTAAAATCGTTTTTTGTTCTCCACTACTGCTCCCTCACTGTTTGCCAAATAACTAGCTTAAAAAAACATTGCACTTTGGGTGTGAATGGATAAATGTACACACCACCTTTAATGAGTTTTGGTGAGAGCAAACACAGTAGCATTTCAGCCTGCCTTTTGGTCATGCAGCTGTTCCTTTTCCCGTCCTTGCAGGACCTCGCCTGGGCAACTCACCAGTACAGAGCATAGTTCAGTGTTTGGCCAGAAAAGATGGCACGGATGACTTCTATCAGCTCAAAGTAAGTCTCTTAAATCCACAATTTATTTTTTTTAATGATCTATCATTGCAGCGTAAAAAAATATGTTCAACATAACCGTTTTAAGCCTTCTCTGTATCCATCTCAACTTCTGACCTTTTCATGGTGAACATTTTATTGCCCTCAGTGCAAGTCTGGCAAAAACAAGCAAACGTGAGCCAGGCATGTTGTTTACTGGGATTATCCAGTAGATCTTAAGCAATCAAGGGGCCTCTAAAGCAAACATTGCACAGGAAATGTCAGTGTTTAACCTCTCCAGTCTCTAGACTGTGATTTCATGTTTAGATGCATTTAGATCTTGCTTACTGTTTGCTCTTTTGTCAGATCTTGACGCTGGAGGAGCGAGTAGACTCTGCTGGGGAGACTCAGGAGGAGAGGCAGGGAAAGATGCTGTTGCATACAGAATACTCTCTCCTTTCTCTGCTGCACAACCAGGATGGGGTGGTCCACCATCATGGCCTCTTCCAGGTAATTTCAGATCTACATATCTTTTTACTTGATAAACATGCCATTTTAGCAGTTCTTTTTTTTTTTTTTTTGAATGAAGTATTGTTTTTGCTTTGTCTCAATGGCAAATCCTCTGACACCAAATTTCCCTTTAAGAATATTTTTAACAAAACCAAAGTAACAATTTGCTGCTATCTGTTCAGAATTAGCAGCAGCAAGTTTGTCATCCATCAAAGCAGCTGCCTGTAATTTCTTTATCAGGGTTGTTGCAGTTAAATAGTAGAAATACTATTAAAATTTTTATCTAAATCAGTTCTCTTTCCTGCTTCTTCACCCTCTGTTCCATCTGCCTTCTCCTTTAACTTTTCTCCATCAGCTCTTGGTCTTCCATTCACATCCTGTTTCACTTTTTTAGTGCTCTTAGAATAGCAGCATTAAGCCTTGCAGGCTGATTCACTTCAAGCTGCAATATTGATTAGATTATTATAGTTCATCTCGACTGTCTGTGAACCCTTTCATGCTTCGGTCTTTCAGAGATGCTGACTGCATCTAAAAAAAACTGCCAACCTGATACAGAATCAATAGGAAACAAGTGAGTGAGTCTACATGCGCTTGTGTTTTAAGAATAGAAATGACCTTTCTTATCTTTTCCACCACATCCAGCTCCACTGACTGTGCAGATGTAGACATTCATAGTGGCTGCGGTCAGCTGCTAAATGATGGTCTGTCTTGAGACTCGCTTATCAGAACTTTGTGGCTGATTCCTTTTAATATCCAGTTTTTGTAATGTTTCAACCTGCTACAGGAGAGCGTAGCTGATTCATATGAACCACAATTAAAGGAAATACAAGAACAGGGTTTAAAGTATCTTTTTCTAACCTTCCTCCCAAAGTTTATTATTAATTGTTATTAATTGTTTGAATTATTTGTAAAGTTGCTGTCACATTATTATGTGAGAGGAGTCCCTGTGCAGTAGGTGTTAATGGTATTTAGAGCAAACTAAATATTAAGCATCCTATTGAGTGAGTAATTTGGCTCCTTTCATCATCTGATTTGGTTCTTTTAAATTTCCTCCTGGTTAAATTGATTCAATGCCGACAGAAATGGATCTCAAATTCCAACTGTTCTGTCAGATAAAGAAGTAAACACCTTCTCAAGGCTTCATTCCCACACTGTGGTGTCAAGTACACTTTTTAGGTATCTATACTTTAAGCCATTACTTATTTTTCATCCTACTTCTGACTTCTACTTGTTACATTTTCACACAAGTATCTGTACTTTCTATTCCTTACATTTTTAAAACAAACATTACTCCTTACTCTTGGCTTCTGTTTTATGTTTATAAATGTTTATTTTACATCATGTGCGCCATCCAATGCAGATAATTGGCCCCATCAACATCTAGTGAAAATCAGTGTGATTGGATGAGTCATATAACGCAAACACTCATTGGTTAGCTAAAGGAAATCATCGGAAGCAAGCAGGTGTTTATTAAACTGTAAAGGCAAATTGTCTATGCCATGCTACAATGTTGGATTCAGAAACAGATGTTAAATGTCTGAAAAGTCAGACACAGGCGAAGGCGAGAGCGTATCAGGAGATGGAGACCACAGGACCTCCCTCATCCTTGGCCCTATCTCAAAGAATTGTTTGAACTAGTCGAAAAATAGAGTTTCAATTCACATAGTGGGGTCTGGGGCTGTTTTTTAAAGGTTACTTTATACTTTTATACTTTAAGTAGTTTTTGGAGCACATACTTTTTCACTTTTACTTGAGTAAAGAGTTCAAGTTGATACTTCAACTTTTACCAGAGTGTTTTTAAACTGCAGTATCTATACGTCTACTTAATTAACAAATGTCTGTACTTTTGACACAACTGTTCCCATGCTTATTTTTGTTTGCAGGATCGTGCCTACGAAATAGTGGAGGACATGGAGGCCAACAAAATCCGTAAGATGAAGAAGCGGATCTGCCTGGTGTTGGACTGCCTGTGTGCCCACGATTTCAGTGACAAGACAGCAGATCTGATAAACCTCCAGCATTATGTCATAAAGGAGAAGCGACTGAGCGAGCGTGAAGCCATCGTCATTTTCTACGATGTTGTGCGCGTGGTGGAGGCCCTCCATAAGGTTTGTCTTATTACCTTTTTGCAAAGAAAGGATGTGCAGCAAACTCTGCTCACTTTCTTTTTTTTCTTCCATCAATGGAGAGAGCTTTCATACAACTCTGCTCTTTGTTGTTGTTTGTTAATTGCACATACTTCTGATTACTCACTTCCATGGCTCGCGTGCCACTCCCAGAAACTGATTTCTGTTATGGCAGTGATTCACTGAACACAATGTGACCATACTTCTTTTCTTTTTTTTCCTTCCCACTTTCCTGCCTGCAGAAAAACATTGTGCACAGAGACCTCAAGCTGGGAAACATGGTGCTTAACAAACGGTAAGTCGATGTTCAGTCACTCTTCCAACATTGTCAGTCAGTTCATGGCACATAATGCTGTCTATTATGCCATGTCTGGTGTTTTAGCTTGGCAGTAATGTGCATGATGGCTGAGTGGCCCCAGCAGCCCGGATCCAGTGAGCATTAAGCTTTAAACCCAGACAGAGGCCACATTCTTTGACTAAGAGTAAGATTACACTCAGGAACCTACAGGCTTGCTCTCTTATACTCAGATCTTGGGGCTGTGTCAGTGTGTTGAGTAATAATAAATGATTTACTCCCTATGGTCAGAGATTTAAAAATGGATTCTGGTGCTAAACATAACAAAGAATATGTGTCTGCTTTGATCTCAATGGGAAAGTGTTTGGGTTTGGGGGCGTATGAGCAATTTAGTAATGCGCAGAAGACCCTGTGGAGTGCAGCTCCGGTCAGAGTGCTGCAGCTCAGATGAGACTTGCAGGATGGAAAGCTACTCATCTGTAAACTCTCCAACCAGCTCATGCGTAGGGGATATGAAAGGGTTGTATTCAGATGGTTAGAACTGCTCTTCCTTACTGTGAGAAGAAAAAATGGTCCTTTTCTCTATTTTATTTTTTAGCATGTGCTCTTAATATTATTAAAAATAAAATTTGGATAATCTTAGAATTTTTATTAAAACTCTTCAGGCGGTTGCTTTGGTATGACTGAATGACTAAACCTGATGAACAGTCGCTGTGTTCCTACGCTCACTTTATGTTGATTTATACCTCTTTGTGGAATGTATCATCAGCCTACACTGTTGCCTACACACCACGCCACTGAGCATTTCTGTTGTGTCGGTGTCATTTGCTTCGCATTCAGGCTGCTAGAATACTACTTTGTGCCATTCATTAATATGATGAGCTGATTCAACTTCATGCCTGTGTTAGACAGAATCTTACTGAAATATGTAAAGATAAACCGAAATATCAATTTGACATTGGACAGTGTTTAACAATATATTCATTAGTGTGACTAGAATTATAGAATAATCACTGCTGAAGGGAATAATCTGAGATTTCAACTGAAGTATAAATCTGAGCAACCTACTACATTCAGTGTTTCTGCTGAAGTGTGGTTCTCCTCTGAATGAACCACAGAAGTATCATTGGAACTATTCCGCTCTTCTTGTTTGACTTAATTTGAACACATTGCTGTTAATTGAAAAAGCAAAATAATTTCAGCCACTTTCCTCTTCATTGACATCATCTATACTATAGAGTGTTATCAGTAGAACCTGGTACTAGGGTTTGGCGATATGACCTCAAATCAATATCACGATAAATTGGGTAGTTTACCTAACAACAAATGCACAATAAATGCTCCTGCTCCTCTATCAGAAATAAAAGCATGTGCAGGAAATGCAACTGGTTTTATTTATCATTTATTTATTGAATAAATCACATTACATGATACTTTTAATTAAGTATTAAAGTCTTGTACCCGTTCAGGTTTAAACATTCAACAATGTCTCAAACAGGAGAGCAATATTACCTCTTGTAAACGTTTTTGCGGAAAGGTAATGGAGCCTTTTGCACATAGGCTGTTTTTTAGTCAAACGTTGCATTTTCTGTTCTTTTGCTCAACATCAATAGCGCAATTTTGGTACAACCGAACTGAGTGTGCAGTGAAAACAATGTATATCGTTTAAACTCGCACATCTTCACTCAAAACCAGTGCCTTCAACTCTGGCAACGCGCTCTCGACTACTTCTCGGTGCGCTCAGCTTCATCTCTGCTGTCACTCTGCTCCAAAGAATTATCTGACTGTATTTTTGTTTACTGCTGTGTTAGATGCTTCTTCACTGGGCTCATCCTCCATTCTCTTTGTTTACACTTCTGAGTGGATCAGTGGAGTCACGTGATTCCCCACATGTTGCAGTATCTTAAAGGGGAAGGAAAAACAAGCCACCATCGTACACAGGCAAAACGACAGAATAACGTTAATTTCTATTACCGACATGGGAAAATTGTGACCAGTTATAGTGTCACCTGTAGGTGACACGGATTAGACCAGCTAGATTATTTAGTTTGTGACCATCTGATTTTTGATCTTTTCCCACTAATACCAACTGATAGCCTTTCAGCCGTTAAATTGTTTTACCATAAGCTTTTAGTCTGGAGTTAATAATTGATGGTTGGGTTTCATTTCTTTGTATTACTTCATTACTTTTTTCAAACATAATTTTTACACTTATCTTTAATCTTTGGTTCAGATATATTCACTGTGGGTTACATTGAAAAGCAACTTTGTTTATTTAATTTTTTATTTTGCTTTATTAATACACCTAGACAAACAGTATTGTCATCTTGTATACACAGAGTTTATACAAAGCAAAGTTTCGATGCATATAGCTTTTCATCGGTGAATGAGCAGCTTAAAACAGTGAAATTAACATTACCCTTTATAAAGTGCAGCAGTGATTAGAATGTAAACAGTGTAGGAGAAAAGGGAAACCAGTTTAAAGTCATTCAAAAGTCCCTCAGTCCTCTACCTGCAGAAGCAGTAGTACGGGAACTGGTGTTGATGGTGATGAAATAGTGTTTTGAAGGTGGTGGGGAGCAGAGTAAATGTGAGGAACACTCCGTCCCAGTTGGAAACAAAGGAGAAATGCCAAAGCTCAATAGCTCAGAGCTGACTCACACCACAGTACAATTCACACATACACAAATACTGTCTCAACTCTAATATTCTTATAATCTTTTTCTCTGTAGCACAACGGCCTATTTTCTCTGTCCTTTTTTAGGGGATGTCACCATGTGTTATACTTTCTTGACAATAGTGTATGTGAATAGACAGTGAATGTGGGAAAACTTTGACCATCCGGAGATAAACTGTATCAGACCCCACTCCCTTGTCATTTGTTGTTCTGGGAAATACACCAAATGCATCAAAAACATCAGCAGTTTGTGCAAGAAATGATGTGGCTTCCTTGTCCAGAGCCAGCTGTTATGAAAGCAGGATGTGATAAATCAATATGCACTTCCACTGATTGACTATTTCTGAGTTTAATTTCCTTTTATATATGGGATGTAGTTCCTCACGATTTCTTTTTTACTATGGTGCAATAATTTATATATCTTAATACATTTATAATTTACAGTGCAATGATTCATACATAGAATAGGGTGGTAATATTATCTATGATGGCATCTTATCTTTTGGATTCACTCCTCTAAAGCCTGAATGTTATTAAAATCCTTCAAACAATGTTCTTGTCAGTTCTGGGAACTGATGTTTGCAGTAGAAGCTGCCCTGCGATTAACCTCGCTTCTCTTTACATGTATTTTTATTGTGGGGCGGAAAGGAGAAGTCATCTGGGCTGTTTAGGTCTCTGGTTTCCTGACTGGAGTCATGTGACCAGGAAGCGGAGACTGCATGGTCTATCCACTGTCCTCGGGGACCCTTGCCTCATAAGGCGAACATGCAATCTCATTTATCCAATCTCCGGTGCAAGAATAGAAGCCTGGGTCGCTATTATCCCAGACAAAAGGAGAGACTCGTCCATAAAGGATGGGGCTTTAATTATCGAACTCTCCTTGGGTAATTCACAAGGCCAGGATATGGTTCAAGCTTTTAATGAAAACAAAATCTGAAATGAGTGAATATTACAAGAAGGTGGACAGTATGTAGAGTTAATCCATAAATAGATTAAGACCACAGTGTTTGGTTAAAATGTAAGTGTTAATCAGGAATCAGCTACAGACCCTTTAATAGGGGCAGCGATATGTGCGATGGAGCAGGGTGTGAAAGTGAGAGAGCGAAAAGGGGAAGCTGTTGACCTCAGGCTTTTTAGAAAGCGGATGTGGGTGAAAAGCATGATGTGGAGAGTATCCAGGCTGTAGACTGTGGCAGCTTTTGTTTGTTTGTGTTTGACAATTCAGAGCGTTTTCGTGAGTGCCACTTCGACATGGGAGCCATTCTGGGTGCAGATCATGTTGCGTGTTTGTGTACACATTTTAAATCTTCTTCTGCTTTATATAAAATCTGTTTCCAACACATCACTGTGCAAGCTTAGTCATTGCGGCAATTATCATAAGCCACAGGTTGACTCATATATTTGTCAAAGTGCAACTTTGTCCCCCCTCCTCCTCTGCAAAAAAGGCCTGAGCTTCAGGATAGTCAGGTTTCACTCTATCATAGACAAACCGAATTAACTTTGATCTGTTTTCATCTGACACATCTCTCCAGTCACAAAATTACTAAAAGCGCTTAGTCTCATCTGATTTAAGGCACTGTATTGCTTGGATCCTTTATTAACATGAATGAAGGTGGACATTGACTTTATATACTGTGACTCATTAATTTACTTAACGCGCACTATTAAAACCTATGAATAAAAACTAATCCACCCTTATGAAATTACGGAAACTTCTCACGGTTCTTTCTACATTAAAAAGTTAATTAAAGGTCCTTTCCCTTTGTTTAATTAGCATCCTTTGCATAAAAAACACAATAGAAATGTGTTAATTGACTGAATAACATTGCCCAAAGAGTAAGGTAAGAAAGCTGTGGGCTTAGTCAGAAATAACCCTCTGGTACATTCTCATGTTTGAAAGTTTCATTGGTAATAGAACCCCCATACCATAATACTACTGCTGATGGCCCAAAACTTTGTTAAAAGATGAAAGATGTTGTTTTGCACCAAATTCAAACCCATCCATTCTAATGGTACAGTTATAAGACCTACTGGACAAGGGAATACTTTTCCAGCCTCTTCGTGTCACTCTGTCTGTTCAGGTACTCAGTTTAAACTGTGGCAAGCTGTCTTCACTATGTCTAGATGTTTAAAATGAAGTTTTTAATGTGTTCCACATAGCCAGAGAAATTTGAGCCCCTCTTTCTCTAGACCACAAAACCACATGATGTTTTTTGACGCTAACAGCTCAGGTCCCGAAGCTCGAAATGTTCTGGGCTTCAGCTATCTTGGGGGGATAAAATGGCTAAACTTTTTTTTTTCTGTTTACCAGGACACATCGCATCACCATCACTAACTTCTGCCTAGGGAAGCACCTGGTGAGTGAGGATGATCTGCTAAAAGACCAGAGAGGCAGCCCAGCTTATATTAGCCCTGATGTATTAAGTGGTAAGTGAAATATGTCTCATGTAAATTATTCTTCAAAGAAGCCTTTGTTGAGACTTCCAGCTAAACCCTTCTTGGTTACAAAATGACATCTATATATTGGGTTTGACTAATTCTAAACCGGCGTTGCTCAGGTTATCCAGATGTTGGAGATTTTTGTTCACGGTTTACATCTTCTAAGGTTCCCAAAGTCTTGAAAGGCAGGAAATGTTTAAAATTAACATGTGATCATTTTCTGGTAACACGCAAGTCTGGCAAAGTGTGTTTAAACGATAGAGCATGGCAAAAGTTTTTTAGACTTAATTTGGTTCTATTATCCAAAGATGGAAAAACTGAATTATGCTAAAATAAAGAGCTAATCACCGATGGACTATTTTGTTAACACACCACAACTTGATCATTTTCCCTCTGTTATATACTTGACCTAAGATTTCTGAAATGGAATTCAGTAAAGAAGCTCAAAACCCTGAATTTCTTATTTGTGTTTCCTATCATTTGTCAAATAAAGCTGTTAATCATAAGAAACTGTGATTTCATAGAGACTAAATTTGATCTAAGGAAGGAGTTCAGGTTGTTAGCAGTGTTATATGAATTTTATTGTGTTGCTTAATTAGAAAAAACATAATTCTTAATTGTTATTTACAATTTTCCAGTTAATATGGAAGTTACATGTAACTGATTTGTTCCTAGAAACAATCCAAGTTTTTTGTGTATTTTAGAATTGCATAATATAAAAAAAAATCTGTTTGATTTTCTGATTATTAAGCAACTACAAGGAAGTCGTGTTGCAATCTGTGAACTGCGATAGGGAGAATTTGTTTTTGTTTTGTTCTTGTTTTCATGGTGATGCTTCATTTTCCCACGTAAGCTTTGGGGATGCACAGAAAAGCGTCAAGGAAGCGTTGCTTCCCAATTCTCATAAGAAATATCAGCATGTGGCCAATCTCTTCCATAGAAAACTAGCTTCATCACGTTGAGCATTTGTTTACTAAACAGCATCCTAGACGTGGTCCTGGACCTAGAACGGTTCAAATCCCACATCTTGCACCCCGTCTAGCAGTTGAAAACTGCAGCTAAAACCGTAGCGTCCATATCAGCATAACGTGACAGGCACACAATTAAACAGCTCCAGTGACTCATCTGCTGATGACTCATGAGAGGGAAACTACTCCCATCTACTCCCATCCCCCGCCTCTGTATGTGTGACACAAGCTTGCATATAATTGCCGACTGCTGTTGCTGCCGCCTCTCTGGCTGGAACAACACCGCCTATGGTAATGCACAGCCTATGATGCTACAGCCTCATCAGCTCCAGTTTGTTCATTCTGCAAACGCGGCTGTTGGATTATCCGTTTGCTTTAACAAGAAGCTCTTCTGTTTTCAAAGTGGCACATTTCAAAGAAGAGCCATAAATGCTGAGTCATTTAGTTCATGTTTACCAGTTTTGTTAATCATTAAAACCTGTGACTTGAACTTACTGAATGTTTTGGTGACACTTAAAACAGGAAGTGATCCATTAATGTGCTACATTAATGTCAGCTCTCTGTGTGTGTGTTTTTATGGAGGATTTGTGTACATTAGTCTGTTTTTTGTTGTAAAAAAACAAAAACTGAGTAGCCCCTCTCCTTTGTGCTTCCAGGTCGACCATATCGTGGTAAACCCAGCGACATATGGGCGCTCGGCGTTGTCTTGTTCACCATGCTTTATGGCCAGTTCCCTTTTTATGACAGCATACCTCAAGAACTCTTCCGCAAAATCAAGGCTGCAGAGTATTCTATTCCAGAGTGAGTCTTAATCTGAAGCAGAGCTTCGATAATTCTCTCTGCATCCCTTTATTTCCAGTTTTAAAGACACAATGAAGTCAACAGTCCTTTTGTATAACCCTCTATCAAAACAGATCCCATTAAGATTGAATTTTAAATTATTTCTGCCGTTTTTTTGTGTATTTTTTGCATGATGATGCTGAGTTGTTACAAATTTTGGAATTTATTTACATTAAATAGCATTTTCCTCATTTTTTTTGTCAGCAAATTATTGATGTGTCACATTAAAAAAAAAATAACTGCCTCATTTGTGCTCATCCTACCTCCTCAGAGACGGTCGTGTGTCTGAGAACACGGTGTGCCTCATTCGAAAGCTGCTCGTGCTGGACCCTCAGCAGAGGCTGGCTGCAGGAGAAGTGCTGGAGTCACTCAGTGCCATTATTGCTTCATGGTAAATGCGCCACCTGCTGGTAGTTTGCTAAACAAAAACTAACTCATGATGGGTATCATGTCAGGTCTTTGTGTGTGAATGTAACCTTTGCACAAATAATAGGATATTCTCAATTCTGTTAATTCATTAACCTTCTTTTTCTGGTTCACTTTGTCACAGGCAGTCAGTTTCATCAATGAGTGGCCCCTTACAGGTAGTTCCAGATATTGATGATCAGGTCAATAACCAAGAACATCTGCAGGAGGTAAGATGTAAAAATAAAAAATAAAAAGTTATTTAACTTTTGCTAACAAGCTTAGATGAATATTAGTAATTTGCCTTGCAAAAGTATTTACACCAGTTTTGTTTTTTCCGTACTTTTGTTAATACTTCTTTTTTGATATTTTTTGTGATAGATTTTTTTTTTTATGCAAATAAAGAGGAAAATAATTCTTAAAAAAAAAAATCCTGAAAAAACAATATACACCCCGCTTTACTCTAATACTCCGGTTTAAAATCCAATGAAACGAAATAGCTTAGGTTTGAGGTTTTGGGTATGTGACAAATCAAAGTAGTTGTAGTGGGAAGTTTCTAGAATAAAAATACTAAACTTATCAGTTGTAGTTTTTATTGTTAAGCCCTTTGTTGTATCTTAATTACTGTCATAAATGCAGCATATTGAGCAGATTTTGTTTTTGAACCTAGGCCAAGGCAATCGAAGAGTCTTCACAGTACGAATTTGAGAACTACATGCGCCAGCAGCTGCTGCTGGCTGAAGAGAAGAACACTATTCATGAAGCCAAGAGCTTTCTCACCAAGCGTCAGTTTGGCAACATCCCACCTGTCAGGCGTCTGGGTCACGACGCCCAACCTGTCAGTCCATTTGATGCTACTGCCCTCGCTCAACGTTTCCTCCGGAAATAACCCTCAACCCCCCACAGCAGCCTCTCTAGCCTCCCTGGTAACTAAACACACCCAGGGAGACCAGAGAGGACTTGGGAGAAAATACCCAGAACTGAACTGGCACACAGGAAGGATCTGTCTGTACTGACAGGCAGACCGATGCACATCTGGGTTTCAGTAAGCTAAGCAAAGCAGACACAAAGCCAGGTACCGGAAAAGATTCCCACCTATGAGCTTGACTTTTCCAGTCTGGATTCCCTTCAAACATTGAAAACCCTGGATAACCCCCCCCCCCAAAAAAAGCTTCTTTACCCACAGTCACTGTGCAACAAACCCATCAGCATGGTCTGTCATGGTTCTGATGAGGTTCTGCCTGCAGTTTGGAAGCAACCATCAACCCCTCGTTCCTCTTCCCCCCACCACCTCTAAAACTTCCCATCCATTCTGGCTTCCCTGAGCAATACAGGTCCAGAATCATGTAGCAACCCCCCTCCCCCCCTCATCACAGTGGTTTGGTATTGCCTCAAGTTGGATCTCTTGATCACAGATGTCATTCATGTATACCTCCATTCCACCTTCCTTATCTCTTTCTCAGTCTTTGTTTTTCCTGTTTTGTTCTTTCCACAACTCTGACTTCAAATCAATCTACCTCTTTGTCTCTATCCGTCTGTTTCTAATCTAGGCTCACAGTTCTGAGACCAGGGATTGTAACGCCCGAGTCTCGACCCACCAGTGGCATAAAAGCATTAATGTTTTTGGTTGCAATGAAACTGCTTTCAAACGGTTTCTAAAAATCTGAATAAGCTTTGTATTATTTACCTGAATAAGTAGCATTTTATCTCAGTAGTAGAAAGATTGAAGAAAGATTTGATTATCAAAGCTTACTTTGAAATTAGCGCTCTGCGTTGTCTCCTGCTTCTTGCTCATCCCTGTGGAAATCTTTTTAGCACCTCGGCAGCTATAGTGAGGTACCTGGGAGTCCAAATGCCAAGAACTGAATGAGGCCAAGTCCTAATGATGATGGTTACTCTTCCTCAGTGCCGCCATGGCGATTATCAGGCACTGTTATGTTTCCATTGCCAAAAATCCTGTCTTAAATTTCTTCTCAGCCAAGGAAACTGGTACTTTCAGACTCATTTAGAATTGTATGACTTCCAGGTGGCTTCCCCATGTCTTCTTATCCAACCCAACCATGGGACAACTGTTTGTTTTCTGTGTGAATGTGAATCTCATTTCTTCTGATGAATCTGCAGTATCCTGAAGTGTGCATGCTGTGTGTATGTGGGTTGGAGCCAGACAAACGAGTGTGTGTGAGAGAAGCTGGAACTCTCTGACCCTTTAAGCTATCCACCAGTTATCATTGTGTCGTGTTATCTGGCCTGCCTCTGTGGCAGACACTGTGAAACAGAGCAGGCTCTGCTGCAGTGGGGCTTGACTGAATGTTTTTTTCGGGGAATGGAGTGAACGCTTAAAATGGGAAAAGACCATATACATTGCCTTTCAGATGTATTAATGACATTTTGTTTTCACACCACTAACAAAAACGTACATGCATTTAGTTGGATTTTATTAAATAGAGCAACCTTAAATGGGTCATAATTATAAAAGGAAAATTATTATTTTTTTTTTTATATTATTAATGCAGATTTCTTTTGGTTTGTCTCTACTAACTTGAACCTCGTCAACCCTTCTTTGAAAGTAGCCCCAGCTCAGTTAACATAAATTCTAAGTCTTGCCACAGATTATTAATTGGATTGACTTCTGGGCTTTGACTGGACAAATCTCACTCACCAGTGATCACAATTCACTGTATTTCTATATGTATGTTTAGGGTCATGACCCTTCTTTAGGGTCAACTTTCACTCCATTTTAAAGTCTCCTTCACAGAAACTGGTCAATTTTGATGAGCTCATCTGTTCTGCTCAGGAACGTCCCACTGAATAATGCTACCACAACCATGTTTTCTCAAACCCTTTTAAGATTCAGTAAACATATGCATTGGGATTAAACTGCACACAGACGACTTCTAAAGGCCAAGTGTGTCATTGAAAGTTAGTGGAATCTGAGTGCAAGGAGCGTCAAATAAATGGCACACTTCTTGGATATTTTAGAAGCCATCGATAATTTTCCTTCCTTTATAATTATGTGCTTTATGTTGATCTATATTCCATTCAGAAGAAAATAGCTGAATACCTCTGTAAGGCGCTGTATCTGTTCTCTCTCTTCCAAACTCATCTTGTACATGCTTGTTTTATGTGGGCTCCTCTGAGCCCCCCCAGATAAATATTACTGTAATATTCTGTAGTTAAATGAAAATACAAACTCACAGGTTTATAAGTGCAGTTTCTGGGTTTGCTTGATGCATTCTTCTGGTTTTCTTTTTACAGAACTATTTTTGAAACCATGGCAATGCTACTAACTAGTGACTGTTAGCCATTTGTACTGTGCATCTTGCCTTTGCATATTTGTACCTGCTTTATGGCTTTCTATACTTTCCCTATTTATACTCTAACTGCATGAACATAGCTTCTGGATTTTGTTTTTCCACATCTTTAACTGTTCTACCACTTTCTTACAGTTTCATGTTGATTTATTTATTCACTTGTGTAGACCCCCCCCCAAACCACTGGTGCTTGTATAACAGACATTGATTGTAGACAGTCAGAAACTCTTTGAAACAATGCCCCACAGTTGTTTGCTCTCTGCTTTAAACAGTGGTTCCACTTTTGCAATCCAAATCTTTTTCCTCATCAGATACATTTGTGAAAGAGTAGCATTTCCTTTCCTCTAAGGATTACTCAGTTGTTTTCTTGTGGTCACCTTAAGCTACACTAATATTAAGACTGACTTTTGCATAGTTCTATTTTTTAAAGAAATGATAATAATAAATGGATTTTCACATCTTAATTTACGGGAAGGGTTTTTGAAGTGTAAGTTTGTTTGTTTTTTGCCATTACCCCTAAATCCCCACACAAGGCTGCACTCTTTGGTCAGTATGTAAATAATGTACCACAATGACTGTGACGGTCATACTTAATGTAATAATGCTCCACCCAGTGACTTACCAACACCTGTTTCAGCACATGATGATTGACACGTTCTTTGGGTCTTGTTGGCCGTCTAACATCACATCTGGAGGCTCCAATGAAATATTTAGAGAGCCGCTGGTTTTCCTCCCATCTAAATGTGAATTATGTGGGTACATAGCAGTATTGTAGTAGTCAAGGTTGTTCATCAGAAAAAGCTTTTTTTTTTTTTAAGAAAAACTCCATAACCACCACTGAATGTTAACATTTAGTGGCGATCTTTGGGAATTACCTGATGCGATCCACCATGAGGAAAAATAAGAATGAAAAAAACAGATTATTAACTATTAGTAACTTTCCAATAAGTCTTAGATTGTACCCTGCTCAATGTTCACTCTGACATACTTTGTATAAAGGTATTTGAGTACAATAAAAAAAACAAAAAAAACATGCAAGGTGAGTCTAGAAAACATGTAGTCAGATAATTTTTAACCCCCCAGCTGAGTGAGTCGTACAGATATTGTGTTGGTTAAAGTTGCCAGTACATATTGTGACTTGATCCAACTATAAATTAAGTACAGGATGTGAAACATGGAGTTACATTGTGTTGTGAGCTGCTTGGTTGGATATGAGCATCTAAATACAGAAAATTGATTAATTGTACAGATAAACACATTTGTATAAAGAAAACATATTTTTCTACTTCATCAGATCTCTACATGCATGTCAGCAATAAACTTTGATATGGAAATGTTCATATGTGTCTTGTCCTCAATAAACCTTGACTTATTACCACTAGGTGGAGCAGTATGCTTTAAAAACCATTTAGTGGGAGTAACAGAATAGATATTTATTTCTTCTTTTTTTCCAACTTTGGTTCCCTAAGGATGGTGTTGTTCTAGTTTGTGTTTACTTCTGTGGAATTCAACTTCCAAAAATAAGCTGTTCTGAACCGTGAATGGGGGCAATTTGTGGGTGAAAAAGTGAAGAGGGCACAGGGTGAAGGAACCTTTGTGCATTGCTATTGCTTCCCTCTTCAGTGAGTTTTATTATGAGTCAGAATGAAGCAGACCTACTTAAACAGGAAGCTCTCCTGACAACACCGTAGTTCACTGAGGGTCTTCTCTTCTGAAGGACCAGGTACCCTTTTTGGCAAATTACTTCATTATAAGGTTTGCAGTATAGAAGATCACACAAAACTGTCATCATGACCAACATTAAGGCATTTCTATTTTTGGGTTATAATATACAATGTTAACATTTAAGCTGTTCTATAATGACTAGTGTTTAAGAGGGGCTTTGGTGTTAATGGCAGGGAATTTGAAGTGGGCAGACAGTTTTATGTGCATATTTTTTCCTCTAAGCGTTTAAAACGGGAATAAACATGCTTTAGTGAGTTGTAAATTTTCTTTTCTTCCAACTGTGCCCCATTAAAACTATCACTTTTTCCTCCAGTGATACAAGGATTATCAGTTAAAATCATTACACAGGATTTTGATTAAGGGGGGAAAAAGCCAAATATCAGTATATGTACGGTGTGGATGTACTTGATGCGCTAACATACACTATTTATTACTTGGATACACAACTTTAAGAGCTGTACCTCTTTATAAAAGTCTGAATCATCCTCAAAAAGCAGCTGTCTCTATACCTATACCTGGACATGTCCAGGCCCAATATGACACACCTTCCAAAGAAGCAGTTATCATTGAAAAAGTCATTTTATATAGTTGGCTACAAGAAATACAAACTTAAGTCATTGAAAAAATATTTTATCTGTTAATGCTTTTGCTGAAAATATGTAATAATTACACACAATACACTTATGATAATGTATATTTTAAAAATTGATTACTTGATTTTTTTTTTTAATCTTTTCTGAAAGTACCAAAATATAAATGACAGTATTTATAACATCCAGACTTAAACAGAATATCTGGAAGAACCTGGATGAAATTGTTCAGTCTTGTATATCAAGGCAATATTGTGACATTATTTGTAAGCTAGCAAATTTTATTCAGTTTTTAAAAATGTTTATCTCAATTATAATATTTTAATGTTACCCATGAGCCCCGGGTCTTCCCACCCATTTCCTGCTGTTATTTGGTCACCCAGCCAACCACTCAAATGTTTAGGAATGGGGGGTAGTTCAAAGATTTTGGAGGTCAAAGTTCTTAAGATTCTTTGTCCCCATAAATCACATCCATCTGAGGGCCTTCCAGACTTCATTGGTGTCTGAAACAAGTGTTCGTTTAACACTACGTCAGACTTTTGCAATGTTCTGGTGTAATTACCTCAGAGAGCATTACATATTCACTTTCACACGGACAGAGTGGGATTTATTCAGTTGGACACGGATAAACAGTAACCCCCTTATTTCCAGATGTGCGGATATAGCTGTATTGTCACAGCTTTTAGGTTATCTACTTTTAGTGATTGTTAAACAAGAGTTGGAAATAAGAGATGCAAGCACACAGCTGCCTTTGTTTTTTAGTGGATGCTTTATGGCTGTTGTGTGTTAGAGTATTTCAAACTCATGGTTTATGGCATCTGCTGGCATTCAGCCCAAAATTTATATTGCACTGAAGGTATCGGCTACCAGAAACCCACAAAGTGGAGGCCACATGCAAAACTGGTAATGCACTTCTATATTGTCTTTGTAGGATCTTACTGCAGTTGGCTTTAAACCCAACAACATTTTCAGCAGTGTTTGTGGCCAAAAGCTGCATGACGTGCAGATCTATAGTGATGGAGGCAGTTTTCCAAAAACAAAAAGGCTTAACAACTGAGGAACATGATTCTAAATGCAAAACAGCAATGAAATGTTGAGGTGCTGCACTGACCAAGCACTTCCTTTTTTTTCCATTCAGCACCCCCAAGAGTCTAGAGGAGAGGTGATGAGATTAGCAGCACTGGAGTTTGCATACGATACGGAGTTAAATTCATTGTTGTTGGCCAACATTCAGATCCCCTAACAGACAGTGGCCCCCACAAGAGGAGCAAAGGGAGAACATCTGCAAAATATCTCTTTTTAATTATTCTGCATTTTCCCCCAGTCTTAAAACCAGCAATAAACAGGACGTCTGAGAATAAATTTATACTATTGTCAGTTGCAGGGAACCATAGTAGCAGAGAAAACAGTAACCGTCGGGATGTTTATAGATTTTTCCATTCAAGTCTCTGCTAGATATGTTGAATCAGACCTGATCTGTTCTTGTAAAATACTTCTTTGCAAACTATAGATGCAGTGTAAGATCATAAAACACTTGAAACAACACCACAAGAAAAAACTTGAATGAAGCTGCAAAAGGGGTGCCAGCAGTAGGCAGCTTTGCTGTGGTAGCACGCACATCTTACAGCAATGGGATTAATAAGCTGAGCTAAGTCAGACACATGATAAAGCTGGTCTCCTGTACTTTGCTTTTTGCAGATGTGTGATTCTGTTACTGCC